AACCAGGTTGCTGTTGCTATTAGGTGCCATTGAGCCAACTCCAACTCATAGTGACCCTATGTCCAACAAAACTAAACACTGCTTGGTCCTGAGCCATCCTCACAATTGTTTTGTTTGAGTCTATTGCTGCCACTCTGTCAATCCATCTCATTGAAGGTTTTCTTTTTTTGCTGACCCTCTCTTTTATCAAGTAGATAAAAGAAACTGGTCCTTTCTGACAATATCCAAAGTAAATGAGATGAAGTCTCATCTTTCTTTCTTCCAAAGAGCATTTTGGCTGTACCTCTTCCAAGAAACATTTGTTTGTTCTTTTGTCAGTCCGTGGAACTTTCAATATTCTTCACCAATACCACAATACAATCACATTGATTTGACTTTTTATTGTTGAGTTATAAAACTTCAAATATATCTATATGTATATATCTACCAACATCCATCTAGCCATCTATCTCTCTAATAATCTATGCACCTACTTTCTATCTATCTACCTACCTACCTACCTATCTAATCTATCTATGATATATATAAGAGTTTGTATATTCTAGAAACAGGTCCCTTATCCAAAATGTGATTTTAAAATAATTTCTCCCAAATGGTGGTTTTTCTTTTTATTTTCTCAAAGTACAAATGTTTTTTTCATTTTAATTTTCATGAAGTACAATTTATGTTTCTGTTTTTGTTTTTTGGTCTTGTCGCTTATGCCTTTGGTAATATATCTAAGAAATCTCTGCCTTAACCAAAGTCATGAGCATTTACTACTGTATTTTCTTCTAAGTATAATAAACTTATGGCTGAATTTACAATTTATCTTTAGTTAATTTTTATAAGTCTAAGCTCATTCTTTTCTTTGTAGATATTCAATTGCCACAGAACCATTTGTTAGGTTTTGAGGCTGTAAGTCTTTGCAAAAGCCTCATTTTTTTTTTCCCTCAGAGTCACTGGTGGACTGGAAGTGCCGACTTTATGGTTCACAGTCTAGTGCATATGCTACAGAGTTACCATGGTTTCTGGCCATACATTGGTTATTACGAATTATTTCTGATTCTCAGCTTTATTCCATAAGTCAGAAACATATGCCAGAACCATACTTTCTTGATTTCTGTAAGTTTAGAGTAAATTTTTTCATTGGAAAGTGTGAGTGTCTCAAGTTTATTTTTTGCTTTTTAAGGTTATATTGGCTGTTTTGATCCTTTGCCTTTCCATATGAATTTTATGATAAGCAAAACAGCAGCTAGGATTTCTAAAGAAATTGTATAGAATCTGTAAATTAATTTGGGAAGTACTGCCATTTTTTCAAAAATGTATGAAGATAGCATATTTTTCCATTTATTTATATCTTTTTAAATTCTTTTCAATTATGTATTGTACTTTTCTGTGTACAATCTTACACTTACTTGGTTGATTTTATTCCCAAACTTTTTATTATTTTCATATTATTGTAAATGAAATTGTTTCATTCTAATTTTGGATTATATAGAAATACAATTGATTTTTATATTTTAATCTTATATCCTGCAACCTTGCAGAACTCATTCATTAGTTCTGATAATGTGTGTGAGTGTGAATTCCTTAGTAATTTCAATATATACAAGACCATGTCAGCTGTGAATAAAGATAATTTTACTTCTTCCATTACAATCTAGATCTTGCCCAATTGCCTGCCTATACCCCTTCCAGTATACTGTTGAATACAAGTAGCAAAAGCAGTCATCTTTGCTATCTTGTTGTTAGTTGGTAAGTGTCATTGAGTCAATTCCGACCCATAGTGACCCTGTATAGGGTTTCCAAGGAGCAACTGTGGTTCAAATGACTTTGCAGTCTGGCGCATTAGCCCACAGTGCCACACCAGGACAGGGAGTAAATATTCAGTCTTTCATCATTAAGTATGATGTTAGCTGTGGGTTTTTTCATAGATAGCATTTATCAGTTTGAGGAAATGTCCTCTTATTTGTTGAATGTTTTTTATTTGAAATGGCCAAAATGTAAAATAATTTGGGATTTTGTTTAATACTTTTCTGCATTTATTGAGATATCATGTACCTTCTTTTTTTTTTATTGGCATAGTGTTACATTAGTGGATTTTCTGATGTTAAAAACTTACATTCCCAGTATAAATTCCATTTGATCATGGTGTATAATCCATTTTGCATGTTGTTATTTTCCATTTGATATATTTTGTTGAGGATGTTTGTAAGAGATATTGGTCTGTAGTTTTCTTTTTCTGGGATATATTTACCTGGATTGTTTGTTTAAGGGTAACATTGGCCTCATAGAATTAATTGGAGGTGCCTCTTTCTCTTCTATATTCTGGAGATATTTCTTAATAGTGGATATTTAAAAGAATTCACTCAAGTTATCTGAATCTGGACTTTATTTTGTGGAAGTAATTCACTTCTGATAATGTGTGTGATAGGTATATTCATGTTTTCTATTACTTCTTGAGTCAATTTCTGAAGTTTGTGTCTTTCTAAGAATTTTCTATCTAGTGGAAGATAATCTAATTGTTGATAAACATTTGCTCATGATTTTGTTTGGTGCTATCAAGTCACTTCTGACTCATAGTGACTCTGTATACATCAGAACAAAGTACTTACTAGTCCTGTGCCATACTGCCAATCATTGCTGCAGTCACTGTGTCAGTTCGTCTCATTGAGGTCCTTCCTCTTTTTCATTGGCCGTCTATTTCACCAAGCATGATGCTCTTCTCCAGGGACTGTTATAGTCTTGCTTTCAAACCTTTGATTTTTCTAGGCTAGTAACTATGCCTCTCTTTATTACTAATTTTGCTCATTTGAGTCACCTCTGTGTTTCCTTTAGTCAACATTAGCTGAAGGCTTGTTGACTTTCCTCTATTTTTCCAATTTTTTTTCATTTATTTCAATTCTAATGTTCATTATTTCTTTAATTTGCCTACTTTAGATTTTATTTTCTTTTTCTAGTTTCATAAGATACAGTATTAGGTTACTGATTTGACGCATTTCTTATTCTATTACTGAGCATTTACAACTATGAATTTCCTTCTAAGCCCACTGTAGCTGCATCCCATAAGTTTCGAGATGTTGTGTTTTCATTTTCATTAATCTTAAAGTATCTTCTAATCTCACTTGTGATTTTTACTTTGACCATTTGATTATTTAAGAAGGTGTTGTTAATTTTCACAAATTTGTGAATGTCCCATTTTTTTTTTCTGTTATGGGTTTCTAATGTTATTAAGTATTTGAGTCAGATATTATACTTTGTACTATTTTTTTCTCCTTTTAAATTAACTGAGACCTGTTTTTGGCCTAACATAGGTTCTATCTTGGAGAATATTTTATGTGCACTTGAAACGAATGTGTACTTTTATGTTATTTAATGAATGTTCCATAGATATCTATTAAGTGTTAAATCTTCAATTCCTTTTTAATCATCTGCCTATTTGTTTGATCCATTAGTAAAAGTGAATATTGAAGTATTTAATAATTATTGATTAATTGCTTAGTTCTTTCTTCAATTTGGCCCATTTTGTTTCATGCATTTGGGGCTTTGTTGCTATTTGTGTATGTATTTATAATTCTTAGGTCTTTTTATTGATTGGCCATGTTCCAATCATAACATGTTCTTCTTTGTCTCTAGCAACATTTTTTGTCTTAAAATAAGTTTTGTGTGCTATTGGTATAGCCACTCTGCCTTTTTCAAGTTATTGTGTATATCTCTAAAGGCTTTAAGAGCAAACACTTAGAGTTGTGAAACATGTTTTGACTGAGGGACCATTTTGAGAGTTCTCCAGAAATTTACATCTACACACACAAATTTCAAGGATTCAATTAAATTCACTGATCAGGACATGAAGTGCCAACAGCATATCTTCACAAATTTGAAAACAAGTGTCAATTGGGCAGAGAGCTGAAAAGAAACTGTGAGGTTTTTGCTTTATACAGAAAAAGGAAAAGGAGGACCAGAAGGGAAGTGGACTGTCCATGATCACATTGCTGAGACAATAACAGACAGGAATACCATCCAGGTCACTGACACCCATGCCAAGATTCTTTTCACCAAGTCATCTCGAATCATGGGAAAAATAATAGTCCTTTTTAGGTTCTCCAAGTTTCTTAGACACTTTGAGCACAAAGAAGAAAACAGGGATATCATCCCATTGCTGGCTATATTCTCTGTAGTTAATGTGTACAGACTTGTATCTGCTTGTGAATATGTTTTGACCTATCATGGATAGGAAGATAATAAGACATTTAATGAGTCGTTTTTTGGAAGGATCCTCCTGGTTAATTCACATGCTGTGGTGAGGTTGTCATGCCCATAGATGGGGAAATAGATGGGCCAGTTGGTGATCAGCTTAGACCAATCAGCGGTTTTCTCAGTGCCTGTGTATAACTATGGTCATGGGACTTTCTCAGCCCTGTTGTCTACTGTGTATTTTCTTGTGCTGATTTTGGACTCCAGATTATTATTGTGGCTTATATAACTGACTGTGACACTCATCTAATTCTAAGGCTCCTTGGAATAAAAAGGTAGATACACAGTTATCCAACAGGTACTTACTAGATTTAGATGATTGTGCTATCTCCGGCATGATAAAAGTTACCAGGGAGTGAAAGAGGAAGTCCAAGACACAGTATAGAAATGCATCTGTGAAGACAAGACTAGGTTGAAGTACAATTTTAGAGCAACCAGAATAAACAGAAGTCCAACAGAAGAGAATGCAAGGTCCCTTGTAGGAGGAGCAGGTTACCAAAGGATGAGTGGAAACTAGATAAGTAAAGGAAATAATAGGAGGTATTTGGGTAGTAGATGGGAGACAGATACAGTATAAGCAAAGGCAAGGAGATGGGCTAGAAATAGAAATAGAGAGCCATATCTGAGCAGAGGTTTGCTAGTGGCCTTTTCACATATATCAACACCTGATGGAAGTCTCTGTATGCAATATCACCTTTGATGTCCCTGCCCCAGGACTATCTCCAGAAGCTAACCATACCTTGTATCTGTTTTGCTTCTATCCACAGCTACCCTTTACGGAAGGCCTGTACCACTTTTACCACAATGGCCTTGCAAAGGCCAAAAGGAGACGCAGCCTGCACCATAAGCAACAACTGGAGAGAGACCCCAGGGTGAGTTTCCTTAAAACCTGCCTTCCAATATCTGTTGTCACATCTGAGCCCACTGATGGGGTTATAGAGTGGATGCCCAGGGAATTTTGAAGCAAGAGAATTCAGTGTATTATGATAGGCCAAATGGATCGTTGGCAGAGTGGCATCAGGGATTCTGCTTCTCTGTTTTGCACATCAGAAATAACCCCACACTTCTTTATTGGGCTGGAAAAAGAGGAAACAAGGCTATCACCTCATTGCTGGCTATAACCACCTTTGTTAATGTATGAAGACTTTTGTCTGCTTCTGAGCATGCTTTGGCCTATCATGGATAGGAAGAGAGTACGAAATTTAATGAGTTATTTCTTGGAAGGATGCTCCTGGTTAATTTATATGCTTTGATGAGGTTGCCATGCCCATAACTGGGAAAATGGCTGGGCTAGTAGGTGATTAGTCTAGAGCAATCAAAGGGTTTTCTAGTATCTGTGTATGACTATTGTAGGATTTTTCTCAGCCCCTCTGCCCCTGTGTATTGTCTTGTGCTGATCTTGGACCCAAGATTCCATTTCATGTTCTTCCTAGCAGTTCAAATTCAACTTTCCTTGAGCCATATTTATCTTTCTCCAAATATGCTTCTCTCAGTATGTCTACTCCCTGTTTTTCAGAATAAGAACTTTGTTATCATTAAATCCTCCCTCTTCCAAATTTTCTAGGTATTCCCATATTCCTAGATACCTATACAGTTGGGTAATTCTAGTTTCTCTGATTCAATCCAGTAAGTAGCAAATTAATTAATTCTGGCAAGTTGATCTCTATACATTGAAGGTAGAATAACCAACAAGAAAAACTTGTTAAAAACTAATGTAAACAGGGTCAGATGTTTAGAGAAAAATGAATGTAAATAGGATCAGATGTTTGAATTGGAGATTTACACAGGGGATACCCTTTGAGCTAATAGAATCTGGAAACGCATTCTGTGGGGCTTATGTGAACATTTTGACTAGGTTTAATATGAGCTTCAATTAGGTATACAGATGAAACTGGTTCTCCAGAAAATCACCAACTGATAAGCCACATGCAATTTTCCAATAACTTCTCAACTCTGAGAAATAAACATTCCCGGAAGTAGAATTTCCAATCTGAGAAGCCACTTTGTCTTTGCTTTACTAGTAAGATCCAAGCTGCTTGTGCTTACAGCCAATGCCAAGCACTCTTGAAAGGACTTTTGCAGACACTGGCACTACTACATAAGGGAGAAGCTGTTTTAATGTGTGCTAACAGTCTTGGCCTTATTTGTTTAGTTTAAGTTTATAAGGAATATCCTTGGACATTCAGCTGAACAAGGATACTGTCTGTGTTACCTGTGAATTCAGTAGCCAAAGACCATTCCAGCACCATTGAGATACAGGTTTTCCTTCATTTCTGTTCTCATGGTGTTGCCCTATATGGTCAATTGCTTCCCTTTTATTTATGGTTTTGCTTCTCCATTTCCCTGGCCATTACCCCAAGAAATGTGTGGAAGAAACTGGGACAAATGAAGAGAGTCTTAAAAGGCTTGAGTTGAGAAACAGAACTAACAAGAAAATGTAACAAAAAAGGCATTGTTTAGTTGAGAGAAACTCTTGGGAACTACTAGTTATTTTTTATATGGATCACTAAAGCGCTAGTTTAACTATGTTTATCTTTGTTCATCAAGGTGTAAGGTAATACTTAAGTAAATATATTCTGATATAGACTGTTTTGTAGGTGTTCTCTTGATTCTTCATGTCCGTCTCCTACAAGGCATAATAGAATGCTAAGTAACAATTTAAATTCTTAAAATAGAAAATTGTGCCATATTTTTATAATAACTTTGCATAATGCACTTCTGGGCACATAGTAGATGCTCAACAAATGACAGTTAAGTGAATGGTTTATTAACAAATTTTCCTCAGTGTTTTAATTCATGCAATAGTATTATTCTTATCATCTTACATTTTTATCCCTATTATAGAAAGAACAATCATTATAAAACAGAAGTATAGTTTATTTTCTGTTTTCTCCTTTAGATACAGTCTTAATTGTGGGTAAAGAAAATCAATTAACATTCCATTACTTTTCAAATCTTGTTGCTAAGAATCCCATGAACAACAGTTTTTTAATTTCTGAAGTCCAATAGGGGAGTCCTGGGGTGATGCTGTAGAATAAGCATTGGGCTGCTAACGGCAAGGTGGACGGTTCAAACCCACTAGCTGCTCCTTGGAAGCCCTATACAGGATCACTATGAGTCAGAACTGACTCGAAGGCACTTATCAGCAACAACTACAAAGTCAAAAAGACTCTGTTTTTCATATTCATAGTCAATGTACTGCCACCTAAGCAAGACCCGTGTTTGGAAAACTTTGGTAGCTAAATTAATGATAAGATGTAATAAATAAATTAATTGTTGTTGTTGTTGTTAAGTGCCGTTGAGTCGGGTCCGCTCATAGCGATCCTGTACAGGGTTTCCGAGGGTGTAAATCTTTACGGGAGTAGAAAGCCTCATCTTTCTCCCGCGGAGCAGCTGGTAGTTTCGAACCGCTGACCTTAAGGTTCGCAGCCCAATTCGTAACCACTACGCTACCAGAGCTCCTTCAAATAAATTAGTACTGATCTTAAATTATAAATCTAAAAGTATCTTCTCAGGTTCAGTGTCAAGAACAAATATTCTCTGTCAAAGCCTCTGTGAGATTTGATAAACTTCACCTAGAAAAGTATCAACAAATCCTGAAACAAAAGTAATTGTGGTTCACAGTCTATATATCAAAACTCCATAAATTTTACTAGTACTTGAAAACTTATTAGAAAATAGACTTACCTAAGGTAATACTTGTTCCATAGTTCTGCAGAATGATATTTGCACATCTGAAATACATAGAGTATTAAAATGAAATGCATTTAAAACCATAAAGGACCAACATTGTTTACTGAGCATCACAAGAGTCATATGGAAGCAAAATACTTTATTAAAAATAACCTGAGTTTAGTTTTTTGAGGGAAGTTACATTAGACCCAATACTTACAAGCATTTCTTTCCTTTCCTAAGTAATTTTACTAGACTATTATTTGTGGTGCTATAGGGTAAACACTATAGGAGCTATAGGAGCTCTGGTAGCGTAGTGGTTACGAATCAGGCTGCGAACCACAAGGTCAGCAGTTCAAAACTACCAGCTGTTCCGTGGGATAAAGAGGAAGCTTTCTGCTCCCATAAAGATTTACAGCCTTGGAAACCCTGTACAGGATCGCTATGAGTCAGAACCAACTCCATGGCACGTAACAATAACAACAACAAAAGGATAAACATTAGACCACAAGGTTGACGTTTCAAACTCTCCAGCTGCTTCTCAGAAGCCCTATACAGGCTTACTATAAGTTGGAACCAACTCGATGGCACTTAACAACAACATTACAATTCTAAGAAGTATGGTGGATTCATACAATAAACTGCAAACCACCAGGTCCTCAGCTTGTTGAATGCTTCAGTCTTAGTTGGGATTTCTGTTCAAAGAAGACTCTGAGACAAACATTTAGAAGTGGGTACTTGTTTTGGAGGTGATCCCAAGAAACACAAGAGAAGGAAATAAAGTGAGAAAAAGCAAGTGAGGAAAGCAAATACAGAGCTTTTAGTGGGCTCCCGCTCTGGGCAAAACTCTAGGACTCAATCCTGCTAGGGATCCTCCAAGGTGTTGTATTGGTGTTTCATGGTTGTCCCAGAAGAGACAAGATAACTGAGTTAGTTATCCCTTGGCATTCCTCACTGCTGAGTTCATTGGGATGTTAAATCCCTAGCATTTTTAAGCTACCCTGTGCATAGATTAAGGAAGCTTCCTTATGCTAGAGGAAGCCCTCAGATAGAGAGGCAGAGAGCAGCCACAGGGCAACTCAGAGATCGGCTGAGAAGATAGGACCAGTATCAGGAGCAACTACTACAATAATACAATCCAATGCCTTAATATGCATCATCCATAAAACTCACACATTCCCTATGAGTTAGCTACTACAAGATCCTTAATTTATAGATGAGGAAAAGGAAGTTTGTGACTTACCAAAAGTCACATAGTTTGTAAGGGATCTCACCGCTGAATCACTGATTTGTATTCCATAAATAAGATTTCTCCTTTCCTCTGCACAGAGAGCATAATAGAGCAGAAAGAGTTCAGAGGAAAATTGATCTATCCCATCCCCTTGAAGCATTAAAGTGTAATTTTACCATTAAGACACAATTGTTAGATTGTTTTTAGGTGCCGTTGAGTCAATCAATTCTGACTCACAACATCCTTATGCACAACACAACAAAACACTGGCCAGTCCTGTGCCATCCTCACAATGGACTTGAGCCCATTGCTGTTGACATTGGGCCAATCCATCTCATTGATGGTCTGCCTCTTTTTCATTGACCTTCCACTTTACCTAGCATGATATCCTTCTCCAGGAACTGATCCCTCATGACAATATGTTCACAGTGTTAGAGAAAAAATGACATCATCCTGGTTTCCAAGGAGCATTCTAGTTGAGACATAATAGATACAATAAAAAGATAAGTGACTAGGAGAGAACAGGGTCTGGAAAACTACATCATGTTTGGGACAGTAGAGGGCTAATGAAAAATAAGATAAACCCTTGAGGTGATGAATTAACACACTAGCTGAAACAATACACTTAAACATTCCAATGATCATGAAGATGATGCAGGAGCAAGCAACATTACATTTTGTTATACATAAAGTTGCCACGAGTCAGAGCCAATTCAATGGCAACTAACAGCAACATAGGATCATACCGCTACAATTGATATTGTTGTTAAGTGTCATCAAGTAGATTCTGACTCATAGTGACCCTGTATCGAGAGTCTGAATAGCAGCTAGTGGATTTCAGTTGCAAACCTTGTGGTTCATAGTCCAGTGCTGATCCGACAGCACCACAACATGGTAATAAAACCCACAACTCCTCTAAATACTAAGTATGATTTACATTTAAAAACTAGATAAAGATTGATATTGTTC